AAGGTGTCTGTAAAGTGATAAGCAATGTAGAGTAATCTGCAACTTTTCTTAAATAGGCAAATGAGAAAATAAATCAAAAGAAGTAACCTAACTCCCATGAGCACTTGGAAGAATTTGGATCACATGAAATAAGTTCTTTTGGCTACACTAAGCTTCCCTACTAAATGTTAGTATAAAACTGTTAAGACTTTAGGTTAATTGCATTATCCAGTGATCTGGATCATGTTTTAACAAGCTCTGGAGTCTCTATCTACAAGAAAATAAATAATATTTTTGCAATTATTTTAATTTTAAAATCTACACATTTCTCAAGCAAATGATTTTTTTAAAATTTTTAATGAGTGAATACACTTTTAAGCAAGAAAATTTTGAAGCAGCATTTTTTTCAAATATAAAACTCATAAAATATATGAGTTTAATATTTCACACCATGTTTGAAATAAGAATAATTAAGAACCTGCTAAGTACTTAGTACAAGATGCATAAAACATTCTAATTGCTGGACTAGACTCTCAATCTACAGCTCAATAGACTTTCAGTGGCCAATCCTCTTCCATCCCTAGCTCTGTTTCTGTGCTGATGTGAAGACACAAGAAAGAAAACGAAGTCACTCCTTGCTTTCACAGATAGTGCCAAACTTATTTTGTAAACTTATACTTTGTGCACCAGCAGTCTTTCTTTAGTTTTTACAAGTGAAAAGCAAAAACGTAACTCATGAGCAACTTGAGAGGTGCTACAAAACTAGTTCAGAAGATTAAAAACATAAACATTTACTTTAGAAATGCTACATGTGATGCACCTTCCTTTGGTTGACTCTTGTGTTGAAAAATATTCCAGCTCCCACAGAACTCTGAGAAAATCATCAACAGTTGCAACCCCTTTGTAGAAGTGTGCAGACAGACATGGTTTCGGTTGAAATGCAAAAGCAATGCCCATGGGTCACTATTGGCAATCCATGGCTAAAGTGATGCTTAAAGAATTGAAAGCGATGCTTAAAGAATTGGGTTAAACCAATGTCCAAAGTAATACAAATCTGTACATATCTAAGTGCTGAAATTCTAGTTTCTGTGTTTGAAATTTATAAAACTCTTAATGCGTTTCATAAACCCCCCTTCCCCAACTCAAGGTTGTTGTTGTATTTTTTTTCTTTTATACCTGGGACCTGGTTCCCATTCCAAATGCACTTACTTTCAAATCATCTCCTGTTACTTAAACAGAATCATCACCACGTTCAAGGCGCATCCTGAATCTACATCTCTCTTTAAGTTCCGCATGTCATCCGAAAGATTAAAGTGTTTTAACTCTCACATTGCGTCTACACTGCATATGTGATTCCTGAGCTCTGAGGGCTGTAGCATCACTGTATGGATCCTTTCCTTGAGTCCATTTTCAGCAGTTCTAGAGTTCCTTGGTGTTTGCCTTTGTGTCCTGTCATTTAGAAAGGGCTAAATTATGGCCTTCAAAAGAAGCCAGTTTTTATTCTGTCATCTGCAGCTGGCACTTCCCTCAACATTAGGTCCAACACTTTGGGAACCTCTGACTCTGGCCTGAGTCAGAGGGTCCACCATGGAAACTAAGGGGACACAAACCAGAACCTAAGAAAAAGTTCTTCAATTGATGTGATCTTTTTCTGAGTGACCTGCTACAATCTTACCAACACAGAAACAATAGGGAGAGGTCTGCATGCAGATATTTGTGTTAGAATTATACTAACAAGTCAGCCAAATACAAATGTTGCATCTGCTTGGGTTGAAAAACAAATGATCTGATTGTCAGAGCCTCTGTGCGCCTCCTGATACTGTCCTCAGGTGAAAGCCATTAGGTGGTCTTAGGTGTGAGGGAATCTCATGGGCGCTGAGGCACCTTGCCAAATACTGTGGCCACCTGGAGTGCAATCACTGCTTAGTCAGTAAGCAGACCACTGATAATCAAAGGGACTTCCTCACCTTTCATGCTGCCCTCACTCAGGAATTCTGCCGCAGATAAGGAGAAAGGACTCTGCAAACTGGCCAGTTACACAATATGACTGATTAGAAAAGAAGAAACAGTAATTCCTCCAGCAGCTAATCAGTTCACAGCATATACTGACTGCTTATTGGCAGAGTTTCGAGTCAAACTGTTTTGTTCTGCAAACCTGGATCTGGTGTCCTTTTTATGTGTGTGTTAGAGGATTTGTTTCTAATGTAGCTTTAAAACCTAATTACTTCACATTTCCAAAATGCTGGAGCACAAACTGGTATAAAATGATCTAACATGAAAGCCGATTTTATGCTCTTAGAAGTCAATGAATGACCTTTACAAACTTATGTTGTTTCTTACAAAATGACATTGACATTGAGTGGCTACGTAACTAGTTATTGATAGCTAAATTCTCTGAGCCAAGTACTACTTACTCCTTCTATTTTAAAATGTTTCTAATTTTTTCTTGTTTTAAATTTTTGTGGTACTGGGAATTGAACTCAGGACTTTGTGATTGCTAAGTAAATGCTCTGTATCTTGAACAATGCAACTTGTCCAAGATTTTTAAGTTTTTGAATATTAATAACTAAGGGAGACTTTTCTAAGCTATAATTCTAACATTCTTGCAAATGCCCTGAAAGTAATTCACTGACACGAACTTAAAACCAGTACTTAAGAATTGAGCTCACCTCTCATTTGGTTATGCTCTTAAATATTCAAGAAAGGGCTTTCTTCCTTCTCCCTTCTCTCCTCTCTTCTTTTTCTCCTCTTTCTCTCTCTCCTCTCTCTCTCTCTCCCCCACTCTCTTTCTTTCTCTTGCCTTCCCTCCCCTTTCTCCCCCTTTCCTTTCTCTCTGTCTCTTTCAGTCACTCATGCATTTTCTGAAACTCACTAAATTAAATGAAAACTGCCCTGTATAAATGGAGAAGTCTCAATCCACAAGAAGACTCAGTAAATACTGTGAAGGCTATAAACATCCCACCTTCTGCAAAGCTGCTGTTCACATACATTATTTTAGATCACCGTTGATAAAGTGTCCAGCAATCCAGTAAGTTCGTACTTTAAAAAGGCATCACACACTTATCCTTCCCTTCCCCCACCTTCAACAGCGTGTGGGTATGCAACACTTAACACCCTTCTGTGCCTCATAAAAACAGCTGCTAAACAACCAGGCCATTGTTCTCCTCTAACTTCTTCTGAGGTGGCAAGAAAACGACATTTCCTGGGCACGGCATAATCTGACCCCCCAAGAACCAGTAAGTCAAATTCATTTACCCCGAGAGGGCAACCAACCATTGTATCCTGTCCACTTTCCAGCCACCTATGAACAATGGATAGTAATTGCAAGTGTCACAGGCAGTCAACAGGAAAAGTAACTCAGGCTTTCATCCAGTTTACTGCCAAACCTGAGCAGAGCACCTCAGAACCAGGCCCCCAGCAGAAGAAAGACCTACAGTTGCTTTTAAAATGCTTCTGAAAACAGCTTTTTCAACAGAACCAGAGGACAATAACCAAACTTGTGCTCTGAAAGTGAAGCCTAAAAACCTCAAAATTAAAGACAGACACCTCTTTTGTGGTTGTACTGTAGCTTCCTGGACTCACCCCCAGCAAGCCTGAAAGGACAGCTGAGCCTCTTTCCTCTAGGCCTATCATCCTTGCTGTTGCTGCTTTTAAGTCTGACTTGTGAAGGAAAACGAGGGCGGGAGGGGAAAAAAATGTTTGTCCTGCAATAGAATGGAATGAGATTACAAGGCTGGAACAGGCTGTCCTTTCTGCTTCACTCCGGATTATTACCTAGGCTAGTGGAGAATAAAGACACAGAGAACACTTGCTATGGCTTGGATGCAAGTGGCTTAAAACCCATCCAAATAACGTGAAGGACCTGCAGCCTCCCAACACGAAAATTCTAAGTGCTCCTTAAACTTGTCTTCAAGCTCCTGAAGGCAGGTTAATTTTTCACTCATTTAAATTTTATTCCATGATAGACTTCAATTGGTGAATTTGTTGATTAGAACTCATTCATCCACAATCAATCATGGCCTGGCTGTATTGAATTCCAGGTGGTTTGGATGAACAAATGAAATGATCAGTCAAACCTTTTCTGGAACTTTCCAAATATCCAGATATGAAAGTTGTGAAGGCCAAACATTTGAGAAGACGAATGTTTTGCCATTCCCCAAGACACTCAGATGGGAAGGAGCCTTTAGGATGACAACTGCCTCCCTCACAAAAGCAAAAAAGTTCTTTCCACCCATATTTCTACAAGTGTACGAATATGACTCTGGTGCTGTTTTAAATAGATACTCAGCATCGACCAAAAATGCCTAACTAAATGTGTTAATGTTGATGACCAAGTACCCTGACCTTCTCAAAATTAATCCTCCTTTAGGGCTTAGAATTCCAAATAGAAAACTGTGGCCAGCTCATCAAACTCTGAGAAAACATACTTTTAAATTAACTGAAAGGATCACATCATTCTCACATAGATAAGGAAATCAGTAGAAGTTTATTAAGATGAGCTTTCAGTACCTCTTGTAGTCCGCATAGAATTTCTCTCAGCCTGTGTAACTGAAGACCAAAATAAAACCAATGCGAAAACTTACTGATAGACTACAACCTTGAATTTGCCCTCCTCATCTGTCATTTGTGGTTTCAACTACAAAATATGCACACGTACTTCTGATACAGAGAATGTGTAAAATAACTTTATAAGATGTGCGATTTTTAACCTTGCTGTAGGTATAGCCCTACTTTTGAAGTAAACAATTTAAATTAAAAATTGAGGAAAACCAAAGGATGTAAAAGAAATAATAGAGTTATTCTGTTAAAGAAAAGAAAGAAATAAACCCTGCTGTTTATCCTACAAGGTTTAAGCAAAGGTAAAATAAGAACAGTGATATATTTCATTTAAAGCTAGAAAGAGCTAACACAGAGAAGCATGAAATACAAAGAATGTAGACAGAACTTCGTTATCACCACTAATTCTCCTGATCATCAGCTTCATGTTATGCTCCGGATCACAATAATTACACACATATTACCTTTTATTTCTCCAAAGTTCCCTGATCCCATGGCAAGAAGCTTGTCTTTCCAGTCCTTTGAGAGTAGCTTTTCAATACTGGGGGTTTCTAAGTAAAGAAAGAAATAATGTAAGCAAATCAACATGACTATCTTTACAATGGGGCTCTTTAAAAGTCTATCTGCTAAAAACAAGGCCGCCCCTCTCCTGGCCCCAGTTCATAATGACTTCATCCACAAACTGATAACAGGGGAAGAAAAAAAGAATGTGTTTTGTCACCTGCTGTTTCAAAATCATTAGCTTTTTCCTCTTGCAGAACAAAGCCATACTAATTCTTTATGACAATGGGTGCATATAAACCTGCAGTTCATTGTTTTTCAATTTGGTGAACAAATTCTTGCTATAATGAATGCTTGTCAATTTCAGGGTGTTAGTCTGCAGTCAAAAAATAATTATGTTGATAAAATGCAGAGGAAAAAAAGGCAAAGAATTAGCTCTTAAATCTGCTCCGTGTAATTATATCCCTCTGTGTTTACAATTACGTCCACTTTATAATATGTGTTTAACATCGTGTGGTGGTAAGCACACTGTGGCAAGATTTGCCAGTACTGCAATTGTTAAAAAAAAAAAAAAGTTGATATATTGATATAAAAGAAGCTTTAAAAAGATTGCAAAATCTAGAGAAGTGAGCAATGCCTATAATGGAAATCTATTATTTGCTTACTTCAGATTTGTATCATATTCTTTTAAAATGCCTTGTATTGGGAAGGGACAACACACATTTTAGAGAGGAAGGTTATAGTGTTGTTTGGTATTTGTTTCTGTATATCACATGGTTTTCGACCTCTCCTTTGTGCTGAATTTTAGTATATAAGTAAATATAAATGCTAATAAAACTCCCAAGCATTAAACTTGGTTCCAAACAACGTAATTGTATATTCTTGTCAGCATTGAGAGGGTACACAATTACAATGGCTTTCAATCCCACGATTAGCACTGCATTCAGTCAGAAAATGGAGTGTACAAAAGATAAGTGTCCCTGTATGTGCCATCTAAATGACAATGCCCCCCTTATTATCTGTATCTTAGACTACACGCTATTCTCCACATTGGGTTTGTGTGTATGTGTGTGTGTTCATGCATTTGTTTACCCCTAGGAGGAGGCATAAAGGGACTGCATGTTAACTTATCAAAGAGACCGTCTGTCTTGGAGACCATCACACTATCAGAAACTGGTTAATTTTCCTCACAGTAAAATTCATCTTTGGGAGTCTTTACCACCATCTATCTTTTACCAACACCATATACTCTTCTAAGACCCCATCTTGCAGCCATCAACCCGCAGAGTAACAAAGCCTGTGTGGACTTTACAGCAGAGATGTGATATATGGAAGATTTTTTTTTCTCAGATGTTAAAAACTTGCAGAAATTAAAATGGCGAATGTCTCTGATTATTGCTTCACCCAGTGTATACATAGAGGTATATATATATATATACCCTAGGTACGGTAAGTGCAGCTATACCTAGGGAAAGTGTGAAAAGCATTTTCCTTTTGTAATAATATACATATCTGTAGTTTTCACATTTAAAGGGAAAAGCTAAACTAATGTGAACTAAACTACTTTTACATTTTGGGGGGAAAATACTAAAGAGTTTGCTTTCACATTTTCTTAAAATATCTTGTTTTTCTCCCATAGCTTCGAAACTTATCATTTCAATTCTGTGAGCAACAGAACAAACATCTTCCCACTGTAGCCAGTATGTCTGTTCACCGATGCTTTCAGAGTAAGTTTAAAATCCGACTGCAAGGATCTCCAACCTTTCTACATTCCCAGTAAGCACTGAGAGTAAAATCATTTCTTAAACCTTATCAGAGTAGGTCAAACAAACAGCACTGTTTCTTTTTCCAGCACTCTACAAAAATTCTTGCGTAGCATGTAAACAGGGCACAGCCAATATGGTATTTGCAATAGAGTCCTGTCAGTCATTAAAAGCTAACAAACCTTTGCAAAGCAGGAATGCAGCAAGAGAAAAGCATTGTGCACTCACAATGGGCCCCAAACCTCCCTGCACCCTAAGCAGACCATTTCACTTTTAAGGCTATTGTCTGCAAAGCCCAGGACAAAGCTTTTCCCCTGCCGCTAGACAAAATATCTACTGTAGTGTGCTCAGAAAGAAACATAAGTCTTCTGTCTAAGTTGCAGAGTTAAAGAAACAGCCGCTAGATTTCTGAAACCTGCAAAACATTCCTGGCCTCTTTATTAACTAGCATAAAGATATAAGGCTCCTGTACAGAGCCATGTGACTACAGAAGAACGAGAAAGTTCTTTAAGACCAAGGTATTTATAAAATGTAAAATCAGGCACACATCTGACACAGGGTTGCTGTGTTTATGGATGAATAAAGACACTAACACAATCTGGATGAGGTATGTATGTTCAAGTGCATTCAAATACATTTATTGAGCAACTGCTGTGCCAGGAACTATGCTGCATTTTCTTAGGAAATCACAGCAACCAGCTGAAGACAGTGAAAGAAAAGACACAGAAGATAAAAAATGGACTGGCCTGAAGACTCTGAGCTGAGTACTTTTCCCCACATATTCCTACCTCTCTTATCCACAATGACATGGTGATGAAAGCTATCATTTGAAGGCTGAGTGCTCAGGAGTCTAGCAGGCCCTTCACGCGTAGTGTCTCATATTTCTGCCGATAATCTTCTGAAGTAAGCATTGATTACATCTGTTTCACCATTTCAGATAGCAAAGTTATGGTGACATCACAATTTACCTGAGATGGAGCTAAATTCAGCTTTCTGGATCTCAAAGCCTTTGCTACTTCCAGCACACACATACAACACAGACATGTACACACATGCACACATACTCAGTAATTCCACCAGATGAAGTGAAACTTGAAGGGATAAATTGAGTTTTCCAGGGTGACATGTATGTATGAGCAGCAACTATGGAAACACAAGGCAAGATTTCTTTTAGTTCTCATTACCCTCAGAAAGTAGTCCAACTATATGACTACCCTTTAGAGTAGTCTGGACAATTTAATGAAAACCTACCACCATGCAGCAGAGATATACAATGAAATAGCTCATTTTACTTATACAGTTGTTGGACTTGTTGGCTGCAAGTCCAACAACTTGCCTTCTCACCAATCCTGTGACACTAGCTAGCTGGGGAAATGGGGGAAGGGTTTGAAGGTTATTTGCCCATGACGTCACACAACCCTCTATTCAAATTTCTGTCAAATAAAAGTTTCCACAAATCCACACCCAGTGTTCTTTGACCAACTGCTATAGTTTCAATGGGTAGTTCCTAAAGAAATGTTAAGAAATAATCTCCCCATAAAGAACACAACAGACAGACATGTAGCATTTATTGGACTTCTCTGAGAACAGTAAAGATCTCATAGAACATCTGTGACTAGAAATGTAAAAGACTAAATGGCAAGAGCCCAATATTTACCAGGCACCTGTTCACTAACGTGTGAACCAAGTAGAGTGAAGTTTGTCACAATCATGTAGTGCTGCTTTTCCATTCACGGACTAGAAGATAAGGGTAGTCTCCTGGATATTGCATTTTCTAAAATGAGACTTTAGAAACACGCAGAATTGTGTTATAGCCTACGAAGAAGGTACTACGTTGCTTGGATCATCACTTACAAGTGTTCAAGTTCTAGATCTTTTATTTCATGTTAAGCTGTGCTGTGTGTTTAGTTTAAACATTTAATGACTCTCCTGAGATGATGCCTTTCTCTTGAGATTTCATCCTCCCAAGGATTGGGTTATCATTATTACCTTCAGCGTAAATAAAATAACTGTTTTTCTCGCAGCATTTCAGTTTACCCAATGCTGCCAGGCGCAACAATTTTCTTAGTAGTATATACAGTTATTAAACCCACTTTGCAGGTGAGGAAATCAAAGGCTTAGAAACATATTTTGCCCAATGTCATCTAGTTCGAAAGTACAACAGATAAAACACAAACCAGTTCCTCTTAATTTAAACATCTATCACTTCAGCGAAAAGTTAAAATGTATATATTTAAAAGAGAAAATAAAATAAATGTTAAGAAATAAGCTAAGATAAATTAGATAAGTGAAAGATACCCTTCATCTGTCAACACATTAACATTAAGACGAATCCAGTTAGCTTACTTATGTCTTCCCCCCACCAGGACCCTTTTGAAACATTTGCCTGCTTCTCCCCTCATACCCTTGCTTCCTTTGCTCACATTTGCCTCTTCCCATCCCTGCCTATGGCAACCCCCACAAGTGAATGGCCTCCCCGGCTGTGCCAGCCATTGTTACAGCAGCACCCTGCCTCTTTAGGGCCTGTTCATTCCCTATAACTCTCACTCCGCTTTCCCTTTAGTGCCAAACGCTCTTAAGATTGACTCCCTCATCTGGAACAATGAAACCTGGAGACTCATGCCAACATATTGTAATTCTCCAACATGCTGCCGGTGCCAAAAACTAAACCACAGACGCTCTAGTGCAGTAGCTTTACACACAAGCTCAGGTTTTTTGCTTTGTGCTTATGTACTTTTTTTTTTTTTTCTTAATCTCCCTTGAGCCGCTGTGGCAGAGCTTATTGAAAAACTGAACAAGCAAAAACCACGTATGGATAATATTTGACTTTTTAAACAAAGTGCCAGGAGTGAGGTCATACCAAACCTACTACTGTTTATGTTTTGATTCTGTAGCTTCAGCTGACCCGTGTTGTTCTAGACATGTGATAGTGTACATCGAGGAAGGAGAGTTGTCTTTTGGGAGGAACAATAAGATAGATAAATTTGAAAATATGTCAATGACTTTCTTGGATGTGAAGAAGTAAAAGGATGTGTAGATTATTCATGTTGTATAGTCAGGATTTTAGTGCTGGAAAGATCCTTCAATATCATCTTATAAAGGTAATTTACTAAAACATTTACCAGACATATACGGAACATAAATGGGTTGGCTGCTTAAAACTAAAACAAAATAAGCAATCCATTGTCATGTAAATCTAACTTACACTAAACAAATCTGAATACCGTTCCAACAAAAATTACATTTTTTTAAGGTGCTAACAGACTGCCAGTCTTCAAGTGAGTTATGGATTATGCAGTATTTAAATATTTTGCAAGGAAATTAGCAT